CACAGCAGAACGGGAACCAAGACAGGAGGTTTAGGAGAGACACACGGGTCAAGGATTCAGGATACATTCAGAGTCAACCCTATGAATCACAAGGTAATTTCAATGCTGATGCATTCTCCTCTTTAAACTCTGACCCCACGTTTATCAATGCTGAGCTGACAAGTACAGCAGTCACCACTCAGGCAGCAGAAAAATTGAGACGACCATAAAGAAGGGCACAGGCAATGATCAACAGGTTGACATTCAAGAGGATAACAGACTCCCGGGCTATATTATGCCCTAACAGCTCCCGTTGTAACACGATGGAGGTTCCTATATGGCGCATTAATTGATGTCTGACAAACCCAGAGCATGGCCGAGGGTGGAGCTGCAACCCAGTGACCCACGGTGCTCCTCACCTGCACCACGTTAATCCCAGCTCACCACAATCCTCCAGCATTAATTCAATACCAAAGGGATAAGCCACTGGCACTCAAAGAAGGTGTGATACTTTCAGTAAGAATCTGCTGAATTCTGGCTGCTGGGGTGAAAAGAGGGCAGTAAGATTGGTCAAAGTTAGTTGGTATAGTTTTAATATCCCGTTGGGCAAGTGCAGGAAGCATGTAACTGGGGTTGGTGCTGATATGAGATAAAGCATAAGCTCTCTGAAGAGAAAGAACCCTTCTTCTTTTATAGAAGCTTTAAATAAAAGCCTTTATTGTGTTCAAAAACAAACTTGCTGAGCTTCACTCAGCCAGCTCGCCCCTTGGGCTCCCTCGTCAGCGGTGGTTTTGGTGACATTGGTGTCTCTTTCCTGCAGGTCAGGCCAAGCCCAAAGCTGTTCGGCAGCCGAGGGGAGCAACCACTGCTGGTGCCTGCACTCCAGAGCTGAAGCCAGGGTGGCAAAGGTGGCTCAGCTGCCTTTTCTGTGCAGGATCCTGGGATTTGATTCAACCAGAGGATCTGGATCACGGAGAAGCATGGGCTTGGTGCACACTGGAGGGTCTTCTCCTCCCAGCCTGCTCCCACTCAGCCCACACAGCCTGAGGCCGTATTTCTCCCAAATGCTCCTCTACCTTGCAACCATTTGCAACTCAGACCTCTGCTTTGGTGCATTTCTCTTCCCACAGCTCATTCAGTTCCTCTTTGGCAGCCACAACATCCTGAGGACACAACTTCTGCAGCTCAGCCATGTGCTGCATGGAGAACCACCCTTCCTGTCTCACCCTCAACCCATGACCTGCCATGGTGGGCATCCTCTGGACCAGGACCTGCACTGCCTCTGAAACTGTCCCCAAATCCTGTCCACCTCTTCCTGATACAGCCTGATGGCCTCACAAAGCCATCAGTGGCCTTCAAAACATTCCCTGCAGCAATGGTTTCATAAACCTCCTGCTCCTCAAGACACCTTCACAGATCCAGACGTTGCTGCGAGCAACAGAGTGGGGTTTCTCCACCCCTTTAACCAGGGGACTGCAAATTTGGGGGGTTTTGGCGCTGTCTGAACCTACCCCCGGCCTCTGGGAGGTCACCTCCAGTCTCTGGGATGCTGGAACAGGAGGTGTCACCCCAACACACCCAACCCCAAAGATCAAAGCAAGGGTTTTACCAGCACTGGCTGCCCAGAGGAAGAGGTGAGGAAGCCAAATTCCTGGAAGAAACTCCTCGATACACAGGCAAGCATCCTTCAAAAACTCCAAACACAGCTCCACAAGAAGGGAAACAGCTCAACTCCCATGGACAGAGTCGCTTGAATACAGCAAAAGTTGTACCAACAGCCCTCCCTAATGAAAAACACTCATCATCTTAAATGGGTAAAGTGAGGTGATGGAATTCTCCAGTCAACTTCCACGTGAAAACTTGCCTTGCTCCACAGAATCCCAGAATGTGAGGAGGTGGAAGGGACCTGGAAAGCTCCCCCAGTGCAACCCCTGCCACAGCAGGATCACCACAGCAGTCACACAGGAACACGGCCAGGGCTTTGGGTGTCTCCACACAAGGAGACTCCACAACCTCTCTGGGCATCCTGGGCCATGCTCCAGAACCCTCACACTCACAAACTTTGGCCTCATCTGCAGCTTGAACCTCCTGTGCTCCAGCTTGGGACCATTGCCCCTTGTGCTGGCATTGGCCATCCCAGAGCAGAGCCTGGCTCCTTCCTCCTGACACTGCCCTTTCCAAATGGATCCCCAGGAATGAGGGCACCCCTCAGGCTCCTCTGCTCCAAGCTCAAGAGCCCCAGCTCCCTCAGCCGCTCCTCAGCAGGAGATGCTCCACTCCCTCCAGCATCTCTGTGGCCCTGCTGGACTCTTTCAAGCACAGAGGCCTCCAAAGCCAAGATCCATCCCCCTCATCTTACAAACACACACGGCAACCTCACAAGTTGAGTGTGAAATGGCAAACCATTTTATTATGCAGTTAGTGAAAGGCTTTTTTTTCTTCCTTTTTCTTAAAAAGACTTGCAGGGACACAGTTCCCTCCTGCAGGCTCACCTGCTGATTACGCTTTTAAAGTGCTACATTAAACTGTGAGAATACCGGCACTTCACAGCAGAAAACTGAACGTGTGCTTTTATCAGGTCTGAAGTGGTGATAAAGCAGCTGTTTCACAAGAGAGATTCGATGTGGAAAGGCAAATCGTGCAGGCTTTGGGATAATAAGTGCAAGTAGAGGCAAGTAAAGCAGCAGAGAAGAGGGCCTTGGTGCGGATGCTGCTGGTTTGGGATCTCATGGGTGTCCCCTGACTCACGCAGAAAGCGCGTGGAGAAGGCACGCAGCCCCGTGCTGTAATGAAGTCTGGATGGGTTACACAGTGTGGTTATGCAGGCTCCCACACTCTGCTTTCCAACAGGTATTTTGCATCATTTTGGTGCAATATTCCGTAGTGAACACGAGTCTTTGAACAAGGTGAAAGGACCTGGGGAGATTTCCTTACAAATAAAGTGCAACTCTTGGTGCTGGAAACGGCAGCTTTCACGGGGAGGTGCCGGGTCTCCACAAAGCCTTCACCAACAGAATTAATGAAAACTGAGTAGAAAACCACAAACCGGCTTCCTGGGGAGTGCTGGTGGGGAATCCTGGGTTCTTCTCCCTGCTTGTGGGGAGGTTTTGGACAAGTCACCACTTTAAATGGGGAGAAAAGCCCCCACGCTCCTGCTTCTGGCAGAGGAGCTCCAGTGTATTTAAAAGCACCGGGCACTGAGCAAGTGATGATCATCTCGAGTTCACCTGGAGAGCAGCCCTGTCAGTTCAAAATCAACACCTCACTAACGCATGTCTTCATTGTCCTTAGCATTTAAAGCAGGCACTTCTTGACTTGTGGGCATCATCTCCCTCCTGCTCCCCTGCCAGCGGGAAGGCCGTGTTTTGGGAAGCTGTGCTGAAGGGCAGGAATCCAGGAGGAGTCAGTTACTGGACACGGTGAAGCGGGGAAGAAGCCGCAGCCCGGTTGAGGAGTGTGGTGTGGACACTGCAATGGTTTCTAAAGGCCACGGCATCCTTGCGGGCTCACCGGATTCACCTTGTGTTGGCCCACGGCACAAACCTGCCGTGCAAATCCACAACTGGACCATCCTGCGTTTTGCCACAGCTCCCACAGGAGATGATGGGAGGGTGAGATAACCCCAAAGTCTGCGCTGGTGGCTTTAGAGATTAAAAAACCCTCGAAATCCTCTAGCTACAATAACCCTTTAACTACAAAGTAGTAGTTTTGTTACGTTGGTGCCCCTGTGCTTTTGGGAGGGGGTAGATACAACTACCTCAAGGGAGCTCGTAGAGAGGTGGGTGCTGGCCTCTTCTCCCAGGTGATGGGGGATAGAACAAAGGGAAACGGCACCAAGCTGTGCCAAGGGAGGTTCAGGTTAGAGAGAAGGAGGAAGTTCTTTACTGAGAGGGTCGTCAGAAGCTGGCACAGGCTGCCCAGGGAGGGGGGGGAGGCACCATTCCTGGATGTGTTTAAGGAGCGGGTAGATGAGGGACTTAGGGATATGGTTTAGGGAGTAGACAGGAGCGGTTGGACATGATGAACTCGGAGGTATTTTCCAACCGAGCGATTCTGTGATTCTTCAATAGATCAGAGATGGGGAACAACCTGCAGCCGCAGCGGCACTGCAAGGTTGTTTCTGCTCCCAAAATCCACCCTGCGCAGAGGGAAGCTGGGGATATTTATTTGGGTTTAAGGATTTTACCTTAAAAATCTCGCAGTCCAATCCCCTCGCGCCCCGAGCTGATATCTGGGGATAGCAGGGAAATTACAGAGTGCAATTTTAAACTGGATCTTTAAGATAACCCAGAGCACCTCAACCACCGGGTACGGCCTCCCTGCAGGGCACAGAATCGATCCTGTTTGTGTCCCAGCCTTGATGCAAGTTCCCCATATTCCTACCTCATAGCACCAGGTATTGGGAAAGGCAAGAAATAACATCCGCCCTCCTATCTAGGCTCAAAAAATACAGCCTAAAATCAAAGACACCCAAGGATTCTGTGTGGTACTTTTCAAACACAAACCCCTTTCCCTGGCTGGACAGGGGTGAAATGAGGTTGATCCTCAAGAAAGCTGGACAGATGCGGCTCTTTGCTTACCCTCAGCTTCAACCCCAGGGATGCCAGAGCCCATCTCTGACCCTCAGGAGCAGGGGAGGATGCTCCAAAACAAAGCACTGCCCAGGGGGTCACCCTTTGGAGCACCAGGACGTTTTGCAGGGGCCTCCCGCGACCAAACAAGATGTGGAGAATCGCCATGAGGACTTTGTTTTTTGACTCAAGAGATCGCTCCCTGAGCAAGACCCTAAGGAGAAGGCTACAGACAAGAAGATGGTTGGGAAATAGGGGAGAACAGATCCAAACCCAACAGCATCACGCAACCAAGGCCTCTTCCAGCAAAACCTTGAAGAAAGAGATTTAGCAACACCCCGACCATCCCCTACGCTGCTCTTCAGGCTTTGAACACGTTGGCCAAATTCCTGCTACGAGGAGGAATCGCCCAGGCCGAGTAATGGTTGTGGCATCCCATCCACGCCAGTGCTATTTCTGCAATCGAGCGTACACCAGGAACGCCAGAGCCGAAATCACAGCGATGCCCACAGCTGGAACGATGTACGGCAGGGATGGCCGCTCGCTGTCCCCTGAGGGGGTTTTGGCCTGAGATGAGCTGCTCGTGGTACCACTGCTCGAGTCAAAAACCGGAGTGTTTCCACAGGGACCAGCTCCATACCGGAGGTCACTGCCTGCCCTGAGCTGGGTGCTGGGGTAATGGTCCACATGGACCTCATGGGTGCTCAGGGAGGCGTTGTCCCAGCTCGGAGGCAGACGGGAGTCTCTGCTTGCTCCAGCTGCCTCCTTCTCTCCCTCGGGGTCTTCATGAGTTGCTGGAGCCCAGCATCCCGTCGTGCTGGAGGCTTCTCCTGAGCTTGAGCTGTCGCTGCTTACCAGGAGTGGGTCACTCCTAAGGGTGAGGCTGGAATAGGGGCTGCTGGGCCCCTGAGGGGTCAGGCATCTGCCCCCCACCCCTGGGCTCTCCCCTATCACAGAGAGGAGGACGCCCGGCTTGCTGAGCTCCACATTTCCCTCCACGTTGCTGGAAGATTCCCAGATGCTCGTGGCAGAGCTCACCTGGGATGCCGTCCTCTCAGCTGCCAGGAGTGCGTCTGACGAGGCCGGGAGCACCTTTGGGAGACAACAAGAGGGGCTGGGTGCCACAGGGAGCACCCATTTGGCCTGGTCGCAGGCACCCATGGCACGTGACAAGCCTACATCAGTGCTCAACCACTGCATCTCCAGCCACTACCAGCGAGTTTGGCTCACAGGGAACATCCAGGACTGGGAAAGTGAATGGGGCAGGGAGGTGTTGGGGCTCTGGGGAGCTTTTGGTATTTGGGGGAAACAAGCAGACAGGAGAGGGGTGCAAACAGGTATCTGGAAGCCAGGAGATTGGCTGGCAAGTCAAGGACAGGAAATAAGGAGTCAAAGCCCAAGAAACCTTGGCTCCCTTCCCCCGTGCTACAAAATACAACATCCAGACAGGGCCATGAACACAGCAGCAGAAAATAAAGCCTTGAATAAACTCGCCACCAGCTCAAAATCTTTCACTGCAGCAGAAAATCTCCCAGACATGGGGAGTTCACAAAGCCCTGAATGAAATGCAAGTGGCAAGGGAAAGGTCACCTACTTTCTCCTCTGTCTGCATGGAGTGGGTGCTGCTGGCTGTGTCTCCTGCAGGGAGTTTTCTCTCCTGCACAGGAGGCTTCAGGGAGATGTCGCAGGATGGGGAAGCATCTCTGGGCACAGGGGTAGCGACTGGGGTGGTCGTTTCCATCCGAGTATCTGTTAGGAAGAAAACAGAACATATTGTGTTAATCAGGAGAGCTGAAAAGGTGAGGTTTGCTCTTCCCCAAGG